CCGCGCATGCGGAGTGCTCTTCCCCCGGGACCGGGCAGCGGGGAGCTCCCGCCCCGCACGGCCTCTGATGTCAGCCCGCTTGTGCAACGGGAAGCCTCCTTGCCCCGATTCGCATAGTTTCTTTATTATTTTTTAAAAAATAAAATAAAATTAAAGGAATTTCCCTTTTCCTTCCTTTATCCCCCCTAAATCCTTGGCTGCATGAGAAGCTAGGTGGAAAACAGGCTCTTCGAAGCACTATCTATCCTGGAGCAGATTCCCAGCACTGACACCCACCGCTGAAGCTGCATTAAAGCCTCAGCCTCGGCACAGGGAAGTGATTCCTCCAAGGGTAAGGAGAGTTCTGCCAGTCCTTGCTCTCCTCCACAGGTCACCACGGCCTCCAGACAGGTCCTTACCTTTCCCTTCACAAATGTGGAGCTCAGTGCTTGGATAAGGCCAAGCAAATAATGATTTATAAGCTCTTCGAGAGCATGTTTCCAGGTTTTTTTTTCCTTCCTCTTCCCCATAAAAGCAAAAATAATCACGCAAGCCACCACTAGCACATCAGACAAACCAGTTTTTCCTTTATTAGGTCCAACTTCGTATCACATACATTGTGACTCAATAAAGGAAGAAGCTATTTCAAAGGAGGTCATTTTAATATCTGCATCTTCAGGTGACTGTGTACAATCAGGTAGCATCAGTAAAATGCTCAAGTAATGCACCTGGAACAGAAAAAAAAACAGAAAAACCATTAAAGCAGCAGCCCATAACCCAGGGTAAAAAAGGGCAGAGACTTAAAGAAATAAGGACTATTTGCAATCTGACACCTGATAGCTCTATTCTAAGCAAAATATTAAAAAAAAAAGAGAAAAGGCTGGAATATGACATTGGCCATCACCTCCAGGAACTGAGTTAAGAGTGACTATCATCAGCAGGACCCATTTTGTAGCACAAGCCAGTGATTAGCATCTCCCAGTTTTCTAAATGGGCTACACCGTGACAATAAAATGCAAATGTTACTGTCACAGAAAAGGAAGTGATCCTACCATTTGCTAAAAACGCTTCTGGGGGAAAAGCTGATGAGGAGCAAAGGTCGACATGGGGCCAGCTAAGCGCTGCAATAGCTGTGGTCTCAGCAACTGCTATCTAGAAACTTTTTGGAGGCTGGGTATGGTCACCAACCACCCTATCACTTCTCAAGCAACTGCACTGTTCTTTTTCCTATCTTTGTCAGGAGTTTTAGGGCACCAGAGCCCCAGGCCAAGAGTCTCAGAACCAACGACATCTCTTACCAGTAAGGTTTATGCTTTGTCCAGGCCCAGTTCCTCTGGAGTGGAGATTCCCAGTTCACTCAAAGTTGGTCTAAGCTCCTGGATAACGTAGGGATAGATTTCCTTGTGAGGTCCTGCCTTGTCCTAGACAAAAAGGAATGGTGTTATTTCCACAGCGAGCTGTGTACCCACCGTACACCAGCCAGGTTTGCAATCGAGATGTGCGTTCACAAAAGGGTTCACAGCCCAGTTTCATCTGTGTGTCAAGTCACCACGGCTGGACACTGACTGGGGAGCAGAGTTTGAAGCAAGTGGATTTAACACCTAGCAGCAAATACCTTCATGCCAGTCCTCAGCTGTGGCAAAACACAACTGGAAAAGCACAGCTGCTGGCTTCCACGACTGAAATAGAACAACTCTGGCCACCAAGCTCACCCATTTTAACTCCCTGACCAGTGAAGGCTGGACTCAGGTTTCAAGGTGCTTGTTTATCTTCTTTTTCAAGCTTATGCAGCTCCCTGAGTTACTACTCCCAGCCAGCTCAGTGTTCAGTCCCTTAAGAAGCCAGCAAGCTGCCTTTGCTTGAGGTATTTCTAGTATTTCTACTTCCACTCACCTTTACAACTTCTAAGATGCGGACGGCACTGGCAAAGTCATTTAACCGTCTGCACGCCCTCAGGGCTGCATCGATGATTTTTGGTTCTGGAACCAGGTCATAACCCACGAGCGTGTTTATGCCTGTGAATATGTGGAAACACCAAGAGGAACCTGGCATCAGAGTCAGAATATTAGGAGCTGGATGTGTTAACTTAGGGGTTGAGAGAGAAGCTGGAGAGCTGTGGGGTTCCACTCCAGGCATGATAAAAGCATCAAAATAGGTCATGTAGGATCAGAGCCAGTCCTCTGCCTTCCTGCAATGGCCAATAACAGGTGCTGCAGAAAAACTTAACAAGGATCACACAATGTTAGGAGTTGGAAGGGACCTCGAAAGCTCATCCAGTCCAACCCCTGCCAGAGCAGGATCACCAGACCAGGTCACACAGGAACAAGGCCAGGCGGGTTTTGAATGTCTGCAGAGAAGGAGACTCCACAACCTCTCTGGGCAGCCTGGGCCATGCTCTGGCACCCTCACAGTGAAAAAGTTTTTCCTCATGTTCAGGTTGAACCTCCTATGCTCCAGCTTGCTCCCATTGCCCCTTGTCCTGGCATTGGACATCACAGAGCAGAGCCTGACTCCTTCCTCCTGACACTCGCCCTTTACAAATTTATAAACATTAATGAGGTCACCCCTCAGACTCCTCTGCTCCAAGCTAAAGAGACCCAGCTCCCTCAGCCGCTCCTCATCAGGGAGATGCTCCACTCCCTCCATCATCTTTGTGGCTCTGCACTGGACTCAGCTCACTGCGGTATCAAAAGGAACCTGCTAAGCATTATTTCGCTCCACCTCATGAAAGAATTAAGTATTACCACACCATCAGTCACCATCAGAATCTGAATTACAATTTCCACTGCCATTTTGGACGCAGACAGCACCAAAAGTTCTCTTTTGCTCTCCTCTCTCTCTCACTGTTGCTCGCTACTGGAGATTTTCAGAGGATTTCATGAAATCCCAGTGCGTCCATTTCATCCATGCTCCCAAAAGGAGTCTGGGTCTGTCCCACAGCACATCAGTTATGCAGTCATTAAGAAATCCAGACTATTTCATTCCTACAGGTGTAATGAAACTAGAACTCGAGCTGCTGTCTACTGCCTTCCTCTCCTCTCCAAGGGAAGGCCCAACACCGACTCATCCAGGTGATGATCCCTCTGGCTGTTATGCAAACACATTTAGAATCTCTAATTGGGGTAGTTTAATAGGAGTTGGCAGCTCCACAGCAAGTAACAGGCAGCCAAACAGTCTAGAGCGAGTTATGGCCAAGCCATTAAGTCAAAGTCCAAAGAAAAATGTGTGTGGTTACTCACCGAGCAACAGCTGAGCTCAAATACACTTTCCTCAGAGCAAACATTTCTCTTCCTCCTACTCAGGTGGTAAAATGCATTTCCTGGGGCACTAAAATTCACAAAGCCTGGGCTCCCACTGCCTTGTACCCCCACTCTCCCTCATTCTGCAGGCTGTCACAAACTAATACTAACTAATGTACTAACTAACTAATACTAACTAATGTACTAACTAACTAATACTAACTAGTACCAGTTACTACCTGTTACTAAGTTATATTTACTCGGTGTTACTCTTTCCTGTTCACTCAACATACCTTTCCTGAGCTCCCAGGCATCAATATCTGGCTTGTTGAAATATGTCACCCAGCGAGCGTCAAATTCTTCATCTGATTCTTGTGACCCGTGAGAGTAGCAGCGGGCAGGGAACGCAGCTGCAGGCAAAAAGAGAGGAAGAGGCTTTGAGCAAATGGACAATAACCGTAGTGTAGTCCTGACCAAGAGACCAAAAACCATACAAGACACTTCACTCGCTGCAGTCAGTCTGGACCAGCCCTCGGCCCGGGGAAGCACTGGATGACTGCAGCTTATCAAGTATTGCTTGTCTGTTTTCACAGAATCACAGAATTGCTCGGTT